GTACTGAATATGGAACAACTACCACCTACTCATATGCAAGTTCAAGGGGAAATGGAATTAAAGCAAATCCACAAGAACCAAAATTTGACCCCAAGTCTACCCCACTAAAACTTCAAAACCATCTCAGGAACAGGTTTGAGGTCAGGAACACCAATGAGCGAAAATCAAATGAGCTGTCGAAGGATATCAAGAATACCGTCCATGAAGAAGGCAAAAGGTCGTTATAAACGCTAAAGAGGATGAAAAGACCAAGACAGATGTCAGATGAGACTCTGAATATGGCATGAGAGCGTCAAGAAGCCAAAGCTAAAGGAAGAAATCAAGAAATTAAAGAGCTGAACAGAAAATTTCAAAGGGCAGCTTGGGATGACAAAGCAAGGTATTATAATGAAATGTGCAAAGAGCTGTAGTCAGAAAATCAAAAGGGCCAAAATCGCTCAGCACTTCTTAAGCTGAAGGAACTGAAAAACATTCAAGTCACGAATGGCAATACTTAAGGATGCTTTGGGCAGAATGTTAAATGATTCAAGAAGCATTAAAAGCAGATGGAAAAAGTATACAGAATTACTGTACCAGAAGAACTGGCTGACACAGAAGAATTTCATTTCTAGAGCTTGTGGTGATAAAGGAGGAAGTTCAAGTTGCTCTGAAAGAATTGGCAAAAAGCAAGGCTCCAGGAGTTGATGTTATACCAACTGGAGAGGGCCATGATGTTTGGGAGGGTACAGGGACAGCCCAAAAGAGCAAGACCATCGAAGAGATGGATCAATTCAGTGATTGGGGTAATAGGAGGTGTGTCAGAAACAGTGAGGTTGGCACAGGATAGAGCAGGGTTTACATAGGGTCACAAGCGACTTCATGGCACATAACAACAATAATCATGGGAGCAAAGAAAAAAGGAATAAAGAAAATCCAGCACCATGGGGGGTGGGGGGGTGGATAAAAAAGACGGACTCACTGGAACAATGAGCAGAGACTGTGAGGATGACACAGGACTGAGCCAGGTGTCATTCTGCTGCACAGGGGGTCACTATGAGTCTAAGTCCACTTGATGGCACTCAAGAACAAGAAGACTCCCACAGAGTGGGCAGTTTTTAGAGGACGGGCTGGGAAACCATTGCTCTAGGCCTATAAACACTAGGAGGCCCTCACCAGGGTTCCAGGGTAGAGTGGGTCGGTCATCTGTTCTTGGCTGCAGTTGGAGATATCAAGTGCAGCCCAAGAAGAAATGATTTGGAAGGAGTAGAAGTGTTCAGGATTCTGGGTTTTCATCTATCCTGAGGAAAAGGAGAATATAAAGTGGGAAAGCAAATAAAACCTGTCCTCTGGTCAATTCTGGGAAAATTTAGCCGAGAGAAACTGTCACCTGCTTTGCTGACCCAATTCCAGGCCTACAACTCCTCAAATGTGTGAGAATTCTGCCTAAATACCTTGAATTGCGAGGTCTGCTTCATAGGTGTGAATATTCTAGATGATAAACTCAAGATTTTGACATGTCAAAGTGTCAGAGACCCAACAAATAGACTTTACCATTTCATTATTCTAGAGTTCTGATCCTCATCAGCTAGAACATCAAAGTTATTGATAAGACGTTAAAAAGGGAACAAGTTAGAAAATAACCAAGCACAAAAAAAAATCCCTCAAAATAAAATCTTACCGCAGTGATACAGGTGTGCTAAAAGATTACAAAAGTCAACTAAAAGAGCTTCCAATTTTTACAGTGAACAAAAATAAAATAGTACTCATTATGAGCAAGAGCCCATGGTGATGAAGGAAGACATTCAAGTCATTCTGAAAGAACTGGCAAAAAACAAGGCCTCAGGAATTGACAGCATATCAACTGACATATTGGCATGACATGATGGTACTCAAGAACAAGCCCTTGTTGCACTAAACTGTGCCAAGAAATCTAGACTGGAAGAGATCGATGATTTGTTCCTATTCCGAAAAAAGGTGACCTAACAGAATGTGGAAATTATTGAACAATATCACTAATATATGCAAGCAAAAAAAAAAAATTATCCAAAAACGATCAGAGCAGATTATCAATAGAGAACTGCCAGATATGCATCCCAGGTTAAGAAAAGGTTGTGGTACCAGGGATATTATAGCTAATGTTAGATGATCTTGGCTGAAAACTTAAGAGTACCAAATAATTATCTGTGTTTCATTGACTATGTAAAGGTGTTTGACTCTGTGGATGACAACAAACTGTGGCCGACTCTAAGAATGGGAATCCCAAAACATCTGATTGTGCTTACGTGAAACCTCTATTGGGCCAGAAGGCAGTTGTCAGAATAGAGCAAGGAGACACTGCATGGTTCAAAATCGGGAAGGGGCGAACTTTGGTGGCCTAGTGGCAAGAAGCTGTACTACAATCCCAGAGTGGCACGGTTCAAATCTACCATGTGCTTTGTTGAAGGAGGGGCAATCTCCTTCCGTACAAGTCAGATTCCATTTCATGGTACACACACACACACACCCCGCCCCCAAAAATCAGAAAGGGTGTACGCCAGGGATGTCTCCTGTCTCCATATCTTTTCAATCTATATGCAGAATAGATCATTTGGGAGGCTGGGCTGTATAAGGAGGAATATGGCGTCAGGATTGGAGGAAGACTCATCAACAACCCGAGTTATGCAGATGACACAACCCTGCTTGCTGAAACTGAGAAGGACCTTGAAGCGCTTGCTGTGGAAGGTCAAGGACTGCAGCCTTCAATATGGATTGAAGCTTCACATCAAGAAAACAAGGATCCTCACCACTGGGATGACTGGCAGCATTCTGACAGTTGGTGAAGAGACTGAGATTGTTAAGAGTTTTAGTTTGCTTGGCTCTACAATCAACACTCTTGGTACCAGCAGCCAGGAAACTAACAGATGAACTGCATTGGGAAAGTCAGCTTCAGGGACCTCTCCAGAGTACTGAAGAGCAATGATGTCAAGTCTGGAGACTAAAGTGTGCCTGATTTAGGCCATAGTCTTCACAACTGCCTGCTATGCATCAGAGAGCTGGACAATGACTAGGGATGATACAAAGAGAACTGATGCCTTTGAGCTGTGGTTCTGGAAAAAGTGTTGAATATAACATGGACTGACAGAACAAACAGGTTTATCCGAGAGAGGCTGAAACCAGGCTGCTCTAAGGATTCTAAGGCTTCGTCTGACATTCTGGACATGTTGTAAGAAGGGACCAGTCCTTGGAGAGGGACATCATGTTTGGGAGGGTGGAGAGTCAGGGCAGGAGAGGAAAACCCTCGATGTGACAGACTGATTCAGTGACTGAGGTAATAAGGGTACGTGTGTCAGAGATAGTAAAGTTGGCGTTAAAACAGGGTAGGTTTCAGGGCTATTGTACATACAGTCGCTAGGAGCCGTGAGGCAGCACTTAACAACAGTAACTCTTACAATCCAAAGCATAAATGTTCATGAGTCTACACGGATATAAATGGAAACAATAAATCATCCATATACACGAACTCAAAATTCAAATATATACTCTGCCATCAAGGAGGACACTCTTCCTTTTGGCAAACTGAATTCCTTCTAAAGAGCACTTATGGAAAGGTGCTGTGTGTGTGTAAATATTCACTCTATAGAGGACAAATCTGACAATATGAGCTAGGTGAGCAAGGTCAGTATCAATAATGATTAATCATGGAGACAGTGTGTACCTGTCAAGTGAAGTGATGAGAATGGTACTTTACCTCCGTAGTCTTCCAAAAATCCTACTCTAAAACAATGAGGAAAAGAGTAGAAAAACTCAACTGAGAAACATTTTGCAAAATAACTGACCAATGTTCTTTAAAACTGTCAATATCACAAAAAAACAAGTCTGAGAAAGTGTTGCAATAAAAACTAAGAGACACAGGAACTGTCATGTGGGATCTCAGATGGGATTCCAGAAAAGAAAGCAGAAAACTAAGAAAATTGGAACAAAATACAGACTTTAGCAAACAACAACAAACTGACAAGGTAATAAACTCACTAATAGAAGAGCTAAATAAAAGGGGAAAAGAAATGTAGGTAGTTAATCTGTGGTACAGATCTTTGCAATTTTCCTAAAAATTTAAATAGGTCTTAAAAATAAAGTCTATTTAAAGAAAAAGAAAAGGCTGGCAAGCTTTATGACATCCTGATCAACCTTGGGTTTGTTTTGTTCATAGCCTTTTACATGACTTCAGGCAATCACTTATCTACTTTGGAACTCCACTTAAGAAGCAAACTTGCTGTGGTCCCAAGTTGGCTTGGCTCTGACAAATTCCAGTCCACCACTCCATGAAAAGGAAGTCTGGTGGCACAGTCCATAGAAAGTTACCCTATTAACCCCACATCTGTTAAAATACATCAGTAGCCTCAAGGAAAAAAGAAAGGCAATCTCCTTCCATGCACTTTACAGCCTTGGAAACCTGCTCAAGGGTCAGCAATGAGTCAGATCCAATTTGATGGCAGTTAGAGAACCCGGAAGAGAAAAACCACCCCCTCACTGGCCAAAGGTTGGCAATATTAATCCTTATCTCTTCTAAATTTCTCACCAGATAGCCTAGACAGCCACAGCTAGACACTGTACTCTAATATCCTACCTTTGCCTTTTCTTCTCACTCCCGGCTCCTCCCAGAAGTAGAAATCCAGGCATTTTTAAAGAAAGCTGTTAAGTAGTACCTATAAATATTCACTGAAAAGCACATATGACAAAACAGAACCAAGGAGGTGGGGGAAAGAAAGTGTGAAGTGTCTCAAAAGAATGCTCTCCAAATTCTACCTCAAGACTGCCCATGACTATCAGGAGCATGTGCTTTTGCTTAACCTTAAATGCCTTACTTAAAGTGATAATTTTCTGAAGATAAAACTGCTTTATTATTATATAACTCACATTAAAAAGTAAAAATTTACAGCCTTCTCTCCCAGCCCATGCCACTGACATCAAGGAATTATGAGCTCTAAGAAAATCAGATCTACATCCACAAACAGGTTTGCAGACAAGACATCAGGGACACTCACTTCCTGAGGATGATGACTGCTCGTCGCTCCTTGATGTCCTGAGGCCGTATGCAGTGAGTGATCTCATCTGCAGCATATCCACTGAAAAGAAATACAAAAGCTTGTGAGTTTGAATGAAGTTCCTGGTGCCAAAATATGGCTCAGGTATTTTGGCTGTCCTCTAACCCATCCCCTTCTACAGGAGAAACTGGCAGTAGTTTCACGTATTCAAAGACCTACTTTTAAGGGAATACCAAGTTAAGCTCTAAAAAGCTTTCAATTAAACACCATTCAAGGAAAAACCTAGTATGAGATGACCTCATGATCTCATAAGGCAGGAGCCAAAGCAGGAAATCTCTCCCAGCAGACCAAGAATTCATCTTTTTAAAGGACATTTAGAAGAAGTCCCACTGGAGGCAGCTACAGATGACTGAAGTCAGACCTTTTCTGTACTTCCTCTTTCTTTCCTTTACTTCCTTACCCTTTAGACTGCAGAGGCAGAAGCAGATGTTAAAATACTGGGTCACTAAAGTAACATAAAACTGTAATCAAGAATCTTCGTACTGAAAAAAAAAAAAAAAAAAAGACAACTTTCAAAAGCTCCCATTTAGGAAGACCCAAACTTTTCAGACAGCTGTATTTAGGACATTTTAAGACTACACTCAAGAACTTAAGTTCCAGTCAAACCAAGCTCACTGCTGTCAAGTCATTCCTGAATCACAGTGGCTTTCCACAGGGTTTCTGAGGCTGTCACTCTTTGGGTTGCCCATCTTTCTTCTGTGGTGAGGCTGATGGATTTGAACCTGACCTTAAGGCTAACAGTATGCCACCATGACTCCTAATTTTGAACTGTTGCTTATATATAGATAATTGAAGATAGGCAGGTAACAGTCATTCTCAGTTTATCATCTTTTCAGTTTGAAATTCAGCTGGGAACATAGTGTCCAAGTAACCCCTCTATCCTGTTTCACTGAATCAAGGCAGTTTAACAGGGCAAGAAACACTCTCAGCAACAGACCTCGGAGGAAGCAGACCCTCTCTCAGCCTTTGCTATCCGCTCACAACTCCTGAATACCCTTGGACCTCAAAACCTCCACATGATTCTTCTCAAGAGCAGCTATACAAACCTACGTATAACTGTCTGGGAAGGAATCCTCAAAATGCCAGGCTGGTTCTAGCCTGGGCAAAAGCTGGATGTAAGAGTGAAGGGGAGATTTAATAAAAAAAAAAAAGGTATTAAAAATCCTCACCACAACCCTGAGAGCAAAATACCTTTATTTTGGAAATGTGATCTAAAGCCTTGTTTCTTATTGTGTACCATGGAGTCAGAAATGACTGACAGCTTCAGCAGGTTCTCAGAGCCCGATGCCCATCTTTCCCCCCCCCATGAAGTGGCTAGTGTATCTGAACTGTATGCCTTTGAGTTGGAAGCACAACTCCTTACCCCAAGGCCACCAGACCTACCTGAGGCCATCCTAGGATGTTGTTGTTGTTCTGTGCCGTTGAGTTGCTTGCGACTCATAGCGACCCTATGTACAACAGCCCTAAACTCTGCTCTGTTCTGTGCCAATTGCACTGTCTCTGACACTCCCATCCCGATTATACCAGTCACTGAATCAATCCACCTCATAGAGGGCCTTCCCCTCCTGCGCCGTCCCTCCACCCTCCCAAGCATGATGTCCTTCTCCAAGGACCAGTCTCTCCTCACAACATGTCCAAAGTATGTTAGATGGAGCCTCAGAATCCTTGCCTCCAAGGAGCCACCTGGTTTAACCCTTTCCAGGACGAATCTGTTTGTTTTCCTAGCAGACCATGGTCTTCTCAATACTCTTCTCCAGCACCACAGCTCAAAGGCATCAATTCTCCTTCTATCCTCCTTGGTCATTGTCCAACTCTCTGATGCATAACAAGTGATTGTGAAGACCATGGCCTGTATCAAACGCACCTGCACCTTCGTCTCCAGAGAGACACCATTGTTCTTCAGTACTTTGGAGAGGTCCCTAACAGCAGACTTTCCCATGGCAATGCGCCTTTTAATTTCCTGGCTACTGGTGCCAAGATAGAGGGAAAGAATCTTTCTTTTAGGGATTTTTCTTCCAAACAGCTTCTTGACCAGCGTTTTCATGAACACAACTCTCACAGACTACAAATTTCCAAAGAGATTTTTAAAAAGTAATAGAAGAGGCTGTTTTTTTTTTAAAAAACAAACAAACAAAACAAAACAAAAACCCACAATATGTTAAAGTACCTGAGACTTACTACTGAAAAAGAACCTGCTGACTTAAAACTGTGTGCTGACCAAAGAATCTTCTCTCAAATAACATTATCCTTCACATTAGAGTGAGGCTACCACACAGTGACTGAGGAGTTGAAAGGTTTTGGCTACAGTGTTGTGCTGGGCCCAAACATCAATTTCTTCATCTGTAATGACTACAGCGTAGGTTCTTGGGGTGTTTATTATGTTTTAGAATTCAGGTATTCTTTTATAGTTACTAAAAGATTATAAGACTTTAACAGTCTTCTCTCAGAAGGATCAGAGTTTATGACTACAAAGTGTGGGACACTCAACAGGGCACTGAGAGGCCTATTTAGAGGCTGCTTTGAGGATCACACAGGTCTAAAGTAGGTTGTCTAGCACATATTCTTAAGACAGTAGATGACATAAGCCAAAATTCCTTGAACCATCCTGGGGTAAACCAAAGTCTTGGTTAACATTTGCCAAACAGATCCTTGCAAGGGTCTGCTAGCAGAAGAGATCCCCTGTTCCTCACTCCCAGGTCCCGATGCTCTAGGCTTCATCTCATACTGTCACTCCACACTGGGAGCATGGAAGTCATGCTACACAGCAGTCCTACACATACACAGAGGATTTCTCCATAGAGTTAAGTCCAATCACCTACCCCAAAAGCATTCTAAGACACATTAGTAAGGGCTGAACCAACAGTCCTAGCTATAAACAACCGTAACAAGTCTTATCAATGTGTTTGACTTGGCTATAGGCAATACAAGGGCCTTGACTATCCACCTCTAACAAAGAGTTACTTTTAATGCAGGTCTAGAGTAAATCCAAACATTGGTAAATACTTAACTTCTCCTACTTCAAAAGGCTTTAGGGCTGAAAGAACAGGTCATGCCAAGTCTCTGCTACTGAGCCTAAGCCTTGAAATTGCTAGCACAGTAGGACAGTACTAACTTCCAAAATCTTCTGGCAGCTGTGGCAAAGCCTACTGACCCTCAGAGAACTGGCTCCTCTGGAGCAAGGAAGCTCTTCTAGACAAACTTCTGTAGAAAGTGTCCAGAAGAAAATAGTAGAGGGTTATTTACTGCTAAAGAACCAACTTGAAACAGTTTTCAAGGTCCTAGACTGACAGCTTAAAACTTAGTATGCCCAAGGTCCAGCTCTATGCTTGTCATGAAATTTTTAAAAAATATTAGTTCATTTACAAAGTTCGTATACATTGTTTTTCACACCAGATCTTTCCCATTTGTTTCACCCACCTCTCCCTCCACCCATCAAATTGTGTGACCCTATGATTAACCAATATCGCCCATCCTCACCCCTCCACCACCTGAATCCTCATACTCGTTCCACATAATGGTCTTATACAATATTTGTCCTTATTCTCTCCAGTCCCTCACAAGTTAGGTAATGATTTACATTATGCTCCTGCACATTGTGTCATGAAGTCTTAATGCCTCCTGCACTTGTTTTCACAGAGAAGAAAAAGGAGAAAATGCCTTTCACTATGCTTCCTGGCCTGAGCCTCCTTGGTTCTCCCCTACACCAGTGAAGTAGTGACTGTTGTTGTGTACCAGAAAGTAGGGACTACCTACAGCTGACCCTGGCGGGTTTTCAGAAGCAGTTAATCACAAGGGAAGAGACTGTCCATCCTTCTCCCTCAGAACAGCTGGTGGCCTTGAAACACGTGCCTTCAGGATTGCAGCTCAGCTTCTTGACACTAAGCCACCAAAACAGCCAAGCTGTGACTATTATGCATCGAAAGTTATGGAGCCTCTGGCTCTGTCACCCTGGCTCTATTCCTTTGCAAAAGTTGACAATCTATTGCCTCCTCTGGAAAGCTCAAATTTTCCCAGGCTTGTTTTCCCCATACTACCCTCCCACATTTACTTATACCACTTTATATTTGGCCTTGTAGAAACTCTGCCTCCCCTACCAGAAAAAGCTTTAATCTTTACACAGTTGATTCTAAGTGAAATGTTTGCTACGCTAAACTGTTTTACTACTTCAGAGCCTCAGTTCCACTTGTAAAACAGATCACAGCAAGCCCTTTCTTAGAGGCCTGAGCTACAGATTAGTCAAGCAGTCTAAAATCCTCTAGTCCTCTTCTACTAGGGGACATCTTTGGTGTTTGAGTAGTCAAATCGTATTTCCAAGAGTCCCCATTCCTCATTTACCCTCCTCCAGCTCAAGTGCACCAATGATAGAGGGACTAGCAAAGAACCATACCAGAGTGACAGCCTACTACAGGCAGCTGTAGTCACTTGCTCTCCTCACCTACAGTAGGCTTCACCACTGACAGGCCCATAGGACCGAGCAGCCCTGGCATTTACCAGGCATCAAAAAAGGGGGTATTTTTAAAAAATAGTAAAAATATGTACATTTTATAGTACAAAACAGCAGAGTACAGAGAGCAGCTTATTTCTTAAGAACTTCAGGTAAGCAGCAGTGTAAGAAAGAATTATAATAACCCAATGGCATCATCAGTCCCATTTTATAGATGAAGGAAGGGTCAGTAACATGTCAAACAGCTAAGGTGAAAATGTTCAAACCAAGGCTGGCATAGAATTCTTTGTTCATGGGGAGCTCTGGTGGCCTAGTGGTAAGGAGCTGCAACTACAATCCCAGAGGTGCATGGTTTGAATCCACCAGATGCTCTGTCGGGGAAGGAGGGACAATCTCCTCCTGTAACAGTCAGATCTGATTTGACGGTACACATAATAAAATAAAAAAAAGAATTCTTTGTTCAGTTGCTAAGCTACATGTATTTTTGGCCAATTTTCTTTTCTTTTCTGGGGGTGGATGGAGAGAGATTTCTGTCATTTGTTTCCCGGTGACAAGGTTCAACTCTTGTCCTGTGGGTCTCACTGGATTCAAGAAAAGACAGCAGGTAACAGTCACCCACTCCCATGGAAGACGGATGCAAAGAGGAGCTCAAGTTCCTAGAGAGCTAACACATCTCAGTGATGTGTACAGGCCAAACTCAAAGCATAAAATGGCCAACCAGAAAGAAAACTCTAATGGCCTACTAGAGGGAGTTCTGGTGGCATAATCTGCAAGGAACAGTGCTGCTCACCCAAAGACAGAGCAGCTCAAAAACACGGGAGAATAGTGAGCAATCTCCTCCCATGTGTTATGTTGTTGTTAAGTGCAGTTGAGTTATAGACGACTCAGAGCAATCCTATGAACTAAAGACTTGAACACTTGTATAACTTTTATCATTTCTCCATGTTCACAGAGTTTACAGAGGTAAGCCATTTTGGAAGGATGCCACTCCTGCTTCCAAGCTTGTTTTAATCAGGAAGATCCACCAAACACTGTCCATGAGTAACCATTATTGCATTTGACACATCAGTGTCAATGTTTAGCATCACAGCAACCACGAGTTACTTCTGTACAGCAAATGGTCAGACCAAATGGGTTTTTTAAATAGGAGGCTGAATCACATCATCTGACACCCATTAGCAAATCAACATTCCACCCTAATCCTCACCAGTACCAGCAATTAAGCCTCTGTAGAATCCAGCTCCTGCAGGTGACTTCCAAGTTGGATACCAGCCCCCATGTGTTATACAGTCTTCAAAAACCTGCTGGAAGGTCAGTGAAGAGTTGATTCCAATTCTATGGCAATGAGAAACTTTTGTTTCCTCACAGCTGTGATGAAGACCATAATAGCTTTCCTAACAAATTCCTTGCTTTTGATGCCCTCTGTCTTGTCCTCTTGTCCTACCTGTCAGTAAAAAAAAGCAGTCAAAGCTTCTAGCCCTAGATCATGGACTAGGCTTCATCATTTGATTCTTCCTCCTCTCAGGTAATTAAAATATTCCACACAGGAGCTATGCCCCCAAATCTATCTGCTCTACTTCCTCAACTATTTTAAGCAGAAAGCTATATTGTACTTTCAACCTGGTGCACAAGCTCAGGCCTTAGCTATGCATTGACAGAGGGAGCAATTGCAGCCAGTACTAATTCTTAAGACCAGAAGAATCATGGTGCGCACACCACTGCATGCTCGTGGTTTACGGTATGAAACTAAGTTATTTACACATGGGTAGCCAATACCTGTGTCTTTGGGAGCAGAACCACCACCATAATGCAGGCAGTAGTGATTACAAAGAGAAGCAAATAAGCAATTAGCTTTGAGGTAATTAATTCAATTAACTTAATAGAAGTCTGTTTACCCACCCCTTTCACACTATAGAGAACAAATGTAGGATGAGTTGATATAAAAATAAACTGTTTTATTTCCTAAAGAATAACCCTAAAAGCCAATCCACACAGGCCCCATACAGAAAGGTTAAAAAAAAAATTATTGCCAACTGGGTTTATAAAGGAGTCTAAAACATTTTAAGGTCCAAATCAAATGAAAAATTACTAGAATCCTTCTTCATCCACAAAGCATCCTTATTTAACCAACCTTCCAAACTGGGAGGTTTAGAGCTCAGTTTGAGCTGGAGTATGCAGAGAGAGAAAGCAGCTCCTTCTCCTATCCTACTAGTGGAAAGGCCCAAGCAAGATCTTAAGAGAGGTATTAAAATCAGGCCATGCTGCACACAAAGTAAACTATAAGTGCTAATTAACCAAGTGCTAGGAGATGTAAATTAGAGCAATGCCTTCCAGAAACCCAGAGCAGTGTTTTCAACAGGGGATGATTTTGTGTTGTTCCCCTCCACAAACAATTTGGTCATCACAGAAAGCGTTACTGGCTTCTAGTAGGCTGGAGATGCTACTAAATATTCTACAACACACAAAATAGCCCATACAATAAAGCCGCTGTTAAAGAAACTCTGCCCTAGAACAGTACCAGGGATTTTTTTTTAATCCATGGGGTCTCTACTTAGGTTGATTCAAATGGCTAACAATTCACTCCATCTGCCTAAAGTCAGCACTCACTCCTGTCTTTGCCTATTGTTCCCTATGGCACTCTACTCCTGCTCCAACTAATGCTGCACTCCATTCCTCCTCACTTTGCTTGGATAAATCCCACCTTACATATTCCCTAAATCTTCCAACACTGCAAAGTGGTTACACTGCCTGCTTGCCCCTTTCAATGTGCTTCTGCAGTTACTATACTGGGTTTTATCCGGTCTCTAGTCTCAGCTGCGCTGTGAACTCTAAGAGCCATAAATTACTTGATCAAATGCCTAGCCCTCCCCAACAAGAGAACTGAGTTTTGAGTTAACAGTAAGCACCTACTTATGCTCTATCAAGATCTACACCACCATAATATTCCAACATTTAATTCCAACATGCTTTGAAAACTGGCATCATTCCCACTTTACAGAGCTCTGAGAACATCCACAAGATGCAGCATTTTTCACAACACTGCTGAGCCCCCCAAAATAATTCTATAGTTAAGTAAAAATCGAAAAGTCAGATGGGACTGGGAAGACCTCAGGAGTTAGTATTCTCAGAAAAAATACGAAGAAAATTTTCCTGATGATGTAATCCCACTGCTGATCACTTACATTTTTAATTTTAAGTACTTTAAACTTGTGTTATTGTTATTCAATTTAGGGTGTGTGGGTGTGCTTTTTCACATGTGTACTCATAGGGTGCGGGTAAGGGGTGAGCACACATCTGTGTCAAAATCACACTTGGTTACTGTTCTAGTTCCTGAAAATAATACTGAGGGCCTGTGATTAACTAAAAGACCAAATGGCCCTTGTAATGTACATGGCTCTTTTAGTACCAAGAGCTCACTGATGGAGTCAGACACCATCCTGCCATACACAGCAAGCCTCCTAGGAGGGTCTGCTCTAGAAATTTCATCTTAAAGAACTCTCATTAAGTCAGTCTGTAAATACTAAGGGAACCCTGAAATCCAAATGACAGCCCTAACTAATAAGTGACCCTTTGAAATATCTGTTTCAGATGCACCAAGAATTCAAAGCACTGCTACTGTCACCATCCAAAGCTTTATCATCAGGAGACCTCAGATTCTCAAGGCTCTGCCCTCATTTCCTGAAAGGGAAACAGTCTCAGTTGTCTACAATGTGAAGAGGGCTACAAAGATCCCATTTCCAACCTGATTATGACCTGCTCTGAGCACATTTCATAGCTGCTTGTAACAAAACCACAGCAAGTCACTAACCTATCAAAGGTCAATGAATTTGCTCCAGACAGCTGCATTCTAGATTGGCAAAGAGGTCTTGGGGGGCAGGGAGTAGTGAAATACATTCCTAGCTGTACTTCATACAAACAAAAAGTGTTCTGGCAGGCTTTCTTCTCTGGGGACAGGCATCGAACTAATTTTCAGCAAAAAGCAGGACCCAAAACAGGCCAAGAATCTCAGCTCTCTTACTGATATTACTACTGAAATAAGTGTCAGGTCAAGAGACTGTTTCATTCAGTCTTGAAAACAGGTTTCACCTTCTTAAAAAGACCCAGAGACTCTTCTTCCGCAGCCAGGAGGAGAGAATTTTAAGAATGTGCTGAATTCTATTCCTGGCCCAGCTACTAATCTGTGCAACTTCAAGGATGGCACCCTTTGGGAATGGACAGAGTGCATCAAATATATACTCTCAGGGGCCTTCTGTAAGGATTTTCTGTTACACAAACCATGAACATTCCCCTTGTCAAGAAAGAAAATCTCCACCACAGTTGGGACAGATAATTTCAACTTACTTCAGAAAAGTTTAGACCCAGCCTGGAAAAGTAAACCTCACCAAAGTCGTGTGCAATCGACTTGAACTGACCCACAGGTGACCCTCCAGCAGTTTTCAGAGGCAGTAAATCACAAGGAGCAGTAAATCCCGAGGAGCAGCTGGTAGATTTGAATCATGCTTCTGGGATTGCGCACAGCTTCTTACCACTAGGCCACAGAGGCAAATCTCTAAAATTTTAGCTTCCTGATAGTCAGCCTTGAGGAAAAATACCTTTAGATTCTACATTCCCAGGTAAATCTTTAGATTCTACATTCTCAGGTAAATCTGTGATCGTATCAAACTCTGCTTTAAAACCCAAAGCTCCCACCCTGTTAAATGCTTGGTGTCTCGCTATCCATGCTTTAAGTGGCATAATTTTGTTCCCACTCCCAACCATCAGAAAAACAGATCTGTACAAAGCACAGGCTTCCTAAGTGGTTACCTGAGCACAGTCACGCTCCCCCTGCGCACAGGCAGGGAAAGCACAGGTTCCGACACCCGGATAGGCTTGAACTGGAACTTGCAGCCGAAGCAGAGAGCAGAGTCGCTAAAGAAGGACACGGACACGATGGGGCGCTCGAAAATGTGGATAGGGTCCACGTGTGACACGATGCATCCGCCTGGCTGGTAGTCATTTATGACTGCACTGTTGACGAAGCCTTCAGGGATGACGCGGTGCTCCACAAGCTTCTGGATCACCAACTGGTGCACCCACTCGGGGATCTCGTCGACGTCTCCGGGCGGATAGAGCCGCTCCTGGCCGGGTCCGCGCTTCTGCAACTGGGCCCCATATGTATAGCCTTCCCCAAAGAAGTACTTGTTGCGCAGCGGGGCTCGGTCCACCGTGTGCTCATTGTACAAGCCCTTTTCCGCGCGAGACACCACCTCGTCGATGCGGGCCTCGATCTTGACGCACTCGTCTTGGCTGAACAAGCGCATCTGGCGGATGCCGCTCTTCACCTTTCGCGCCTCCTCCTCCCGCTGAAGCTGCTGCTCCTCGTAGTCGCTGCGCTCCGGGTCCGAGTCTTCGTGGAACTTGCGCTTTGCCCCGGACCCCGGGAAGGGTTCGGCGGCGGCGGCGGCGGCGGCCACAGCGGCGGCAGCGGCTGCTGCGGCTTCTCGATTACCTGTCTTGTAATTGTCCCTAGCCGTCATGGACTTGAGCTTCTCACGTAGATCTGTGTAGCCACCGGCGGCCGCCATGGCCCCACGCCACTCTCTAGTGTCTGCTGGGACGGGTGAGCATGGCGCTAGGGGACGCTCTCCGGAGCCCCCAGAGAGGAGGGCTCCTCAGCTCTGGGCCCCCATGCGCTGCCAGAGAACCCGGAGAGAAGCTTCGAGGAACGAGGTGCGGGGTCAGATCTCAGGAGCGGCGAGTCAGGGAGTGGTGGCGGCGACGGGGTGTCTTCCTCCTCCACGTCCCGGGGGGCAGGGACGCTCACCGTGAAGCATGCCGCGGGACCTACAGTTAGGGCACAGACCGACTCTGGTCCAAACCCTCGGACACCTGGCCGGGCCGCACTTTAAGGCGCGTCTCACGACGTCACGGACCTCCCACCCGACGTCCGTCAGCGCCACTTTACAGCGGGATCCCGTGTGCGCACGCGCAATGTACACGAGAGCCGCAGGGCCCTGCGTGTTGCAGGCATGCGCGGGAGTGCGGCCGGCCGGCAAAGCAGCAGGCGCAGGCGCACAGAGGATCGCTAGTCCATCGCCCCTCCTCCACTTGTCGAAGGGTTTCAAGGGAGGGCCCTTCAATAGCACCCTGCCGTGACGCCGCGCTGCTTGAGTCGGAAGAGTTCCCTCCGTAGGCGTGCAGTTACGGTGTCAACGCCGTCGCTATGCTGTATCATGGCATCGTCGAAAAACACAGAAACGTCCCAGGCCCAATACGCAATTAACCAGGAACCGCCATACCTCTATTACCCTGTTACCGCCCCCTTTCGCGCTTCCACTACTTTAATTGGATCATGGGAGAAGTGAGAGGCGGACTCAGACAAGAGCTTCCCCAAGTTGGTTGGTAAGTATGCATGTCAATTAGGTGGTCTCCTAGGTTACTGCACCCGTTATTATTTAATTAAGAGTAGGAAAGGCGACGAGGACCCCTAAAGGGTGCATGGGTGACCAAGTAAGTGCCTGAATGGAGACTACACTGGAGGAAATCCCTTAGGACACTTAAGAAAACTTCTTAAACTAGTGGACACTTCTCAAACTGCGTGCCGAGAGCACTGGCCCCCAGCTCTGAATCTCGTTGGTGACAGCAGGATTTGCGCATCCAGGGGAATCTCAGGCGTCGCTGCTACTGGGCTGCTGCTGCCGCTGCCGCCGAGAGTGGACGTTCACCGAGTCACGTCCCAGCGCAGGAGGCGCGTGCGCAGTCTCGGGAGCACGCTAGGGTTGGGGCGGGGCGGCAGTGGACGCACTCAGCCTCGCAGGGAAGTGGTAGACTTTAGCACCTATGGGAGCGTGTTGAAGGTGAGAATCGAGGCAGGGCAGAGGCCTGGCCCACGCTTCTCGAGACTGTAGTTGCGGGGGTTGCCTTTCAGGGAATACTGAGAAAAAGAAGTCCACTGGTAAGGCAGGACTCACTATTGGAAAATAGAAGTTTGGAGTAGTGTTCTCAGGCAAGGAGCGTGGCAATGGCGGGATGTGTACACTGGGCTGAGGGTCGCCCGCAAGTTGCGGGTTTTTGCTCAGAAGCCTTTCATGGTTACCCAGGGATAAAGTCTGACTGCCTTTCTTGAAACTTTTGTTCAGGAAGCCCTACTATGCTGAGTCCCACCTGGCCGTTGACGCTGCCAAATTTGTTCCACCTCCTGATCTGTGCCTGACCTGTTTCTTCTTCTGGAATACAAATTCCCGTTCACGCATTTTTTTTTCCCCTTTTTCTTTTCATGTTGATACTGTGAGTCCCGACTCATCTCCTCCATAGCATCTAGATTCCCTGTGAAATGCAATACAATTTAACCTTCATGATCTGCTCTTTGTCCCTCCCCACTTGGGCTTCTCTTTCCTGGACATTTTAAACCTGACCAACCCTCATCATTTCTTTCCTTCACCTGCTCCCCCTACCGACCAAACTGTGCAGCTCTGCAACTGCATCCTGGCCCATCCTCACCCTTCTGCCCCCAACCCTCACCTCCTTGTACCCCCAATATGTTTTTCCCAATAAAAAAAAAATTAATAAAAAAAAGAATAGCTTTGAAGCCTTGAATCAATGACCAAAGACTAGATTAGTTATGGGATGACATTTAGGATATTATCCATGAAGAGAGCAAAAGGTGACTGAAAAGACAAGAGGAGAAAGAAAAAACAAAGAGAATGGCAGAAGAGAACTAAAAAGGCAGTAGAGCCTTGAGAATCCAAAGAAGGGATTGTTGGTATGTATTGTTTAGTTGACTGCAACTCTTAACTATCTTATGTACAGTAGTCACTATTGTCAATCCATATCAGGCACCTTGTTTCCTATGCCATCCCTCCACCCTTCCAAGCTTGATGTTTTCTCCAAGAACCAGTTCCTCTGGGCCACATGTCCAAAGTATGTGAGACAGAGCTTCAAAGTCTTGCTTCCAAAGAGCAACTTGGCTTCACCCTCTCCAGGAAAACCATTTTCTTCTCTTGGCAGTCCATGGAATGTTCAGTACTCTTCTCCAGCACCATAACTCAAAGGCATTGATTCTTCTTCTGTCATCTTTAGTCATTGTCTAGCCTTCTGATCCATAGCAAGTGATTGCAAAGACCATGGACTGGGCCAGGTACACCTTAGTCTCTACACTGACATCTTTGTTCTTTTTAGCACTCTGGAGAGGTCCCTGATAGCAGATTTTCCTAATGCAATTAATTTTTTATTTCCTGACTGCTTTTAACAAGAGTGTTGATTGTGGAATCAAGCAAGCTGAACTTGTTAATAATCTCAATCTCTTCTCCATCTATCATTATGCTGCCAATTGGCCCAGTGCTGAGAATCTTTGTTTTCTTAATGTTGAGTTTCAACCCATCCAGAAGACTACAGTTCTTGACCTTAAACAGCAAATCCTTCAGGTCCTCTTCAGTTTTGGCAAGCAAGGTTATGCATCTGCATAATGCAGGTTGTTGATGAGTCTTACTTCAATCCTGATGCCACATTCCTCCTCATAAAGTCCAGCCTCCCAAATGATCTGTTCTTTATATAGATTGAAAAGGTATGGAGAGAGGACGCATCCCTGATGCACTCCTTTCCTGATTTTGAACCATGCAGTCTTTCCTTGCTGTGTTTTGAGGACTGCTTCCTAGTCCAAGTATAGGTTTTGCATTAGAACAATCAAGTGTTTTGTGATCCCCATTCTCCTGAAAGTTAACCACAATTTGTTGTGATCCACACAGTCCAATGCATTTGCATAGTCAATGAGACAGAGATAGACATTCTCCAGTACTCTCTGCTTTCGGCTAAGATCCCTCTGACATTGGCTATGATTGTCCCTAGTGCCTTAGCCTCTTCTAAAGCCACATTGTATTTCTGATCATTCTCTGTCAATGTGTTGTTCCAGTCATTTTTGGATAATCTTCAACAAGATTGTGTTTGTCTATGATATCAGTGATGTTGTTTCATAGTTTCCACACTTAGTTGGATCACCTCTTTTGGAATAGGAATAAATATGGATCTCTAGTTGTCCTCCCGGTGAACACTCTAGGGCTGCATTTATTTGTTGAAATGTGTCACCTGGTATTCTGTCAATTCTTGGGACCTTGCTTTTTGCCAGTTCATTCAGAGCACCTTGAACTTCCTTCTTCACCACCATTTCCTCTTGGTCATATGCTGTTTCTTGAAATTCTTTTATGTCAGCCAATTGTTTTTAGTACAGTAACTCTGTATACGCCTTACAGCTTCTTGATTTTTTTTTTTACTTTTTAAAATGTAAAATATTTTTTTAATTTTATTTTGGTTCACCTACAAAGTTCATATACTTTGTTTTCACATCAGATCTTTCCCATTTCTTTTACTCACTCTCCCTCCACCCATCAAATTGTGTGACCCTATGATTAACCACATGCTGTACCATTCATCCTCACCCCCCTGTTCCCACCCTGGAAACCTCATACACAACAATGGTCTTATACTGTATTTGTCCTGATTTTGAACCATGCAGTCTTTCTTTGTCTTTTATCCATTTTGTAATTGTAAGACCATTATTGTAGAACATGTGTGAGGATCCTAGGGAAGGAGGATGGAGGCCTTTAATCAGTATGTAATGTCATTCCTTATCTTTTATGGTAGTTTGGTAGTTTCCATTCTGAAGTTTCTTTTTCTCGGGGGGGGGGGTGTTGTGTGCCATCAAAATAGATCTGTCTGGCACAGGAGGAGACTTCCCTTCCTTCTGCAGAGGAGCATCTGGGGGAATTCAAACCCTGTGCCTTCGGAATTGCAGTGCAGCTTCTTGCCACTAGGCCACCAGATCTCCCTTTCTGAAGTCTATTTTATCAGATTAGTATTGCCACTCCTGTTTTTTTGACATTGCCATTTGCTTGGTATATATTTTTTTTCCCTAAACTTTGATGTTGAGCCTCTTTTTTTATTTTATATGCATCTCTTGTAGGCAACATTTTGATGGGCTTTGTGTTTTGTTGTTTTGGTTTTTTTTAATTCACTCTGCTACTCTTTTTCTCCTGATTGGTGCATTTAGTCCATTCATTTTAAGTGTGATTATTGTCAGGCTAAGTTTTACCATTGTCATTTTCCTGTGTTTCTTTTTCTCTTGTTTCTGGATACTATGTTCCATCCATTTTCCTTTGGCATCTCTGTGTGAAGGAGTTCACTTAAAATTTCATGTAGTTTTGGTCTTGTTTTCACAAATTCCTTAAGTTCCTTTTGTTCCACAAAGGATATAATTTCTCCTACATATTTGATAGAGACCTTTGCTGGCTATAGGATCCTTGTCTGACATTTTTTTCCCTTCTTTCAACTTTCTGTATATGCTATTCCATTGTCTTCTAGCTCACATAGTTTATGCTGAGAAATCAGAACTTAATCTAATTGTTTCCCCTTTGTAGGGGACTCTGTTTTTCTTGTGTTATTTTTAGAATTCTATCCTTATCTTTTAATTTGGAGAATTTTACTATGGTATATCTTGATTTTTTTCTTTTTAGGTCTAGTCTATTTGGTGTTTGTTATATTTCTTGAATGTGGATTCCCCCATCCTCAAAATACCTGGGAAGTTTTCTTTTAGT